GTCACTCACACACTCATAGCATTGACACCAATGACTTGGGTTTATGACACATTGAGACACTCTCCTCTGGACTTGCTCGGTTTACTCATTAGCTTCAGAATAGCAAAGAAAATTAACTATTAATCAACCATTATATTTCCTTAAAAATATTTTCCCCCCAAAGAATAATCAATCTATAAATTAAAAAAATTTTGACCTGTATACTGTGAACTACATGCGAAAGGAATGAGGTACAGGTTCACAGGCTGGAGTATCTTAAAATATTGCACATTTGAGGAACCCCAAGATTAACCTGCAATAGTATCTTTTAAAGCAATTTCATTTCAAGAAACAGACATAAATCTCTTCCTTCGAGGGAAATGTCTGGTTGTGGAAACTGACATCATATGGTACTGATGACTTTACCAAGATATAGACTCATCGGCCTAACAGGTCTGCTTACGAGAATATAAATCCAGTTGACTTTACAATTTAATAAACTCTCTTCCTCTTTTACAATATTATAACTATTCAGTGATTTGTGGTAGCTATGTCTTCCATACTCTGCATATATACTGAGTATCCAAATAGGAAATTAGGTTATAGTGTGCTGCACATAGTAAATTCTGTTCATTGAGGAATCACAAAGCAAAAATACACAGATGAGATGCAACTAACAGCAGTTTAGAGTTGGAAAGAGACTGAGATAGTAAAAAACTCAGACTAGAATTAGAAACTACAGATTATATGCCAAAAGGCCTACACAAATTCTTGTTCTGGTTCCATTGGTAATTTACTGACTTAAGGGGGAGTCATTTAACCTTGATTGCTCTGATGTCACATAGGTACGTTCATGTGTACATTCAAACATTTGTTCAGGGGCTGCTAAATATCTACAGCCCTGCTAGATTCTGGAGATAAGACACTGTTTTGCCTAAAGACTTCCTACAGAGGAGTTAAAAGTCTAGTTGGTGGCTCTCAATATTTTCTCAACTATGCGACTCCCAAAGGTGGGATTGCCCCAATCAACCACAGAGGCTCATGATGGGAGTAAATCTCAGCAAGTCCAGTACATGCTGGAAGAGCCACTCCAGGAAACATTCATAGACCTTCCATTCCCCCCACTCCTCACAGACACCCTGTGAGACCTGCTAGTCTAGAAGAATCTCACCACCTCAAAGATCGGCTCTAGGGACAAAATAACATGTCACAGGAAAAGTGAATATCTAATGAAGAGAAATGAAGGGCTAAAAAAGGAAGACCTAACAGTGCAATGTGATTATATCATTTGCGTCATCCCTCTGCACAGACATTAGCACGGAACTTAAAATTTAGCAATTGTTCCTAGAGAGTAACAGCGATCTATTTTGATGCAACTTTACAATTTTTAAAATCTGCACATTGTGTTCTCACATAATTTTTCATAGCGATGTTAAAGTAGGGCAATACTACTTTTCTCATTTATAGACAAAGCAACTGAGGCCCAGATAAGTTAAATAACTTGCCTTAATCCCTTACCTAGGGAGTGGAAAAGCCAAAAATTAAAACAAAATCTTCTGACTCTAAAGCCAGTCTAGTTCCCACCACAAGGGAGAATCCTATTTTTAAAAAAGATATCTTAGTTATCCTTTTTCTTTTTAAGACAGACAGAAAACCTTCAAGGCAAAGAAGTGATTCAACTTTAAAAATAAAATTATAAACTTCCATCTGTAAGGTACAATAATATGTCTATTAACTGATGTTACTGGCAAATATTCTGGAAGAGAGTTCTAAGTGTTTTTATATTAAACATTTAAGAAAAAATAAGCACATATATATCCCACTAAACAGAACGCAAAAACATAATTTACACTTTAAAAAAAATTTACAGTCTCCGTCCACAGTCACCATTATGCTATATAGCAAGTTTTAGAGTGACATGCTCTAGAGTATAAAACCTTAAGCCAATAAACTCAAAGCTCAGGCTGTTGTGTTTTTCCTCCTGTCTGCTCTCTGGCGATCATTTCCATGTCTGTCCTTGGTGCTGTTAAGTTCCTCTCAGTTTAAAGTGACTCCCCTTATCACAACTCCCTCTGCCCAATGAGCTTGGAGTTCTCTGCTTTTGTAATCTAAGGAAGAGCTTACAAAATATCCAGGATATCAAGGGAAATCAGAAAACAAACTTAGTAAATAGTCAAATACACAAACGTATGTAAATGTTTATACACACTGTAACAGGTGCACACATACTAAGGATAAAAAACAATGTTTTGTCAATGCTTATATTTACTTCCTTTATTATTATCCGGGAGACATGAATAGACTAACATATAGCATAGAATTTTCATGAACTTGAGAACTCATAGGGCAAAATGGAGAGAACGGATTCTGTCACAAGACTTTAGGTTGAATCTAGTTTTGGAATCACAAGACTTTAGGTTGGGTCTAGGTTTGACCTTACAATTTGAAACAAATTGGCTGACTAGGTCTTATTCTAAATGTCTTCATCTGCAAAAGGGGAATAAAAACCACACCCATATATCATAATTTTGTGAAATGAGTGCTTTGAACTACAGTCATGCTTCACTAAATGACAGGGATACATTCTGAGAAATGTGTTGTTAGGCAATTTTGTTGTGTGAATATCACAGGGTGAACTTACAGAAACCTAGATGGTATACCCTACTATACTCCTAGGCTACTTGGTGTAGCAATTATAATCTTATGGGACCACTGTATGCATTCCATTGTTGACTGAAACATCGTTTTGTGGTGCATGATTGTATATAAAGTAAAAAAGTAATTTCTTATAGTTAAAAGAGATCCATTATTCAAAAAGCTCTGCTACAAAGACAGCCAAATAAATAGGGAATAAACTATATTAACAGAAGTCTTAAAAGGCATTCATCAACTTTCATTACCCACTGATTGGTCAGCTTTCCAATGAAGGAAACATTGTACTGACATTTAGGCTTTTCCATTCTTTTTTATACCCGAGTTAGAAAAACAGTGTATTCCTTCCATAGAAACTATTTAAAACAAGAAAAACTAAGCAAGAACTTCTAGAAAAGCTTTTGCTCCAGAAGAAGAGAAAGGCAAATTCTGTAAGGAGGCAAAATGTGGGTTCTGACACAAAGGCTGACCCGCAGGAAGGGCCAGCACAGAGGCTCCCACTGTCTCCTCCAAAATGGCCTTCTCCACACTCTTCCCCTGTACCCGTCACTTACTTTGCTCACTAATTAGTGAGCCTAGGAAGGGGGGTTCTTATGCTGGAAGATACAAAGTGGCATTAGGAAAGTGCCAGAAGTAAATTCCACCTGTTTTTCTTCTACCAGCTACTAACAATTTCTCAGAATGTATCCCTGTCATTTAGTGAAGCATGACTGAAGCCAATCATATAATTAAGGAAAGAGAGCAGGGGGTGGCAGGGGGAGGGAGCAGCCTTAAAAAAAAAAAAAGCTGACTTTAGTGCTGTAAAATTTTATTTTTCCCACTTTCTGAAAACCCATGTTCTCCTAAGGGAAATGCCCTTCCCTGCTCTTGGTCTAGATGGCTCAGCTGTCCAACTCGAGCCAGAGCTAGCCTATCTGATCACTGCGCTCCCCGGCCACAGTGACGGGTGCAGAGATGGGCATGTGAGCCACATTCAATCTGAGAAGGTGCCACTGGGGTTTTTTATAGGAAGTGCTAGGAATAGAAAAACTCTTTTTAACAGAGGCCTGGTAGCTGTTTCAGCACCATGAAAGAACTTGTACGAGAATAGAGCCAGGACAAAGCCAAGTGATGGAGAGAGTGGGACTGAGTTCTAATGACCTGGCTAAAGACCATGGCTTGCCTGAAGCCAAGCCTACCCTAGGACTTTCCAGTGAGTGGGCCAATGAATTTCTTTCGCTGCTTAAGCCAGTTTGTGTGGAATTTTCTGTCACCTATAACCAAGAGCCTATTTCCTGAGGAACAATTATTGAACTCCTACTATCAATTCAATGCTGGGTTTGGGGACTACCAAATAATTAATAGTGCAAATAATGTAAAATCATGTAATATCAATTAAATAATGCAAAACCAATCCCAGAAGCAAAGAAATAATTACTTGGTCAGCTTTTTCATCCCACAATTAAGGATACTATGTTGTGGTCTCTGGCAAAACAAAGGTGAAACATTCAAGTTGCTTATTTTAAGCCCCTGAAGCACCAATTCATCTCTGAAAAATTCCCTGAGAAATAAACCATAAGAAATCTTCATGTTGAGCTCCTTAGTGAATATAAGTATCAATTACACAATAACACTTTTACTAATAGCAAAAATCCTACGCTTTGACCAGACATAGTTTTCAACATTAATAAAACCATCTGGCCTAAGTCTTATGTTAATTAATTGCTTATAAGTGAAGATGGGGGAAGACAAAACGAACTAAAGACTAATTCCCCTTACGAGTACAATCACTTGGACAGAGCACATGCTTTTCTAAACATACACAGTGACTCTCAGCCAAATTTTTCCTTTAACATACTCATTTAGAAACCTTCAAGAGGAGTAAAGGTAGGACTCGAAGGGGACCGGGAGGCTGAAGTAGCTGGTAAATGAAATTATTCTGTATGGAACACAACTTAAATCATAGACTTGATCCTGATATTAATGTTTTAATTCTCCACAATTCATACATTATACAGAAACACAGAAAAGGCAGAGATGATATATTCTTTGTGTGCCCAGTAAAAACGCTATTCTAGATCATGCCAATTAAATTTATGATGCCACACAATTCTTTTCCTAAGTCTCACTGAAAAATAAACTGTGACAAACAGAAAGGCCTTTTCGACTGGTTGATCAATGCGCACGATTTCAAATTTTGCTCATTAAATATTACTCAGTGGAAAATCTCCAGGTAGTTTTTAGATAAGGCATTATTACTATTTTATCACTGACAGATTATATCAAAAAATATTTTTGAAGAATTTCCAAATAATGTTATATTGTTAACTGTGAAGTAAACTACATACTAGAAAAAAAAACGTAAAAGGAACACCCACATGAACATTTACCTTCCACTGCTCTTTTGAAGAAAACTTTGCAGCTGCCACAGGTTACTACCCCATAATGACATCCTGAAGCCTCATCCCCACACACCAAACATATTTTGGAAGGTCTTGAGGATCCAGTAGAAACACTTCGTAAAGTAGAGCTGGGGAAAGAAATCAAGATTTAAGTAACTACACTGTAATGGCACATTTAATATGCTGTATAGCTTAGCTCAAGTTCATCAATAATCACAGTTCCATAAATAAATTCAGTATGTAGTGGTGACATACTATGTGACTTACCAAAATGAAGTAAAACCCTATCAGGCGGAATAATGCTATCAAGAATGTTGGATAGCAAAGCTTTGTTTCAGTACTGAAAAATAAGAAATAATCACATATAAACTTATTTCCTCCTTTTCCTGTTTTTGAGAAAGTTTACCAAATAAACATTATTTGCACTCTAGGTGGCCAGTGAGAAGAATCTTGAACCAAATCATCATGGAAGTATTTGCTGTCCTTTTATTTTGGCATCAAACAGCTTTTACACTCTTCACTCAGACTCACATTATATAGGTCAATTATGTTAGAATTTTTAAAAACCCCTTTCCAAAACAATCCACTAATTAAAAAAAAGTCTTGCCTCAACTACCAGCCAGCCCACCCCTCCAAGGTCCTGCAGTTTTTCTTGTTACTTTACATAGGTATGTTCAAATTACATCATTTTGCTTACTACTTTGAAGGGGCACTGTCAACACTTAAAAAAAAAAGCCATATATGGCAAATATCTCAGGTATCTTTTATGGTAAGAAACCAAAGGGCTCTGGGTGACAGTTTTTAGACACGAATGTAACATTTTAAGCAACAATCTGTTTGAATACTTCTTTTTTTTTTTTTTGTCTTTTGTCTTTTTCCATGTCCGGCAACGGATTGCAACCCTCAGTGTTGCCCCCGTACCGGACCGGGGACCGGCAACGGGATCGCAAACCTCGGTGTTGCTCCCGTGCCTCGCTCAGCCAGTGAGCGGGAGCCGGTCTGCATGTGGGATCCGAACCCTCGGACGGGAGCGCTGCCGCGCTTCCCAAGCGGCGCACTATCCAGTGCGCCACTGGGCCGGCCCTGTTTGAATACTTCTTAAGGGGAATCTTCAAGATATATTTCATATTACCATGTTAGTTAGTGGTATGTTCTGAACAAAACACTTTAAATTCTAATAATGAACCACAGCTCAGTGACAGTTGTGTCCTGAGCAGGCAAAGAAGTTGATATTTTCACTCGTAGTCCACATGCATCTATTGAATATATACTCACAGGTCCTGTGCAAGGTACTGAGGAAATAAATATTAAAAATCCAGTCTCTGCCCTCAAGTTAGTGGAGACATAAACTGCTGTGGCGAGGGCTATGGTGCAGGGTAACATGGTGGCAGACTAGGAGTCAGCCCTGCTTACTGGGAAGAGTGGGGGTATAGGAGTCAGAAACCACTTTCCCACGTGTGACAGATGAACTGAATTCTGAAGCATGACTAGGTGACAAAGAAAGAGGGCAGAGGATGCAGAATGTGCCGTGGCTCAGAGAAATGCAAGCTAGATGTGTTCAGAAAACTTTGGGTATGGTTATGTCACTGATACCACCTTGCTGTCACAGCTTTTGCCTCCATGTGAAGCAGTAGACACGCAGAAAAAAGACTCAAAGAAAATACACCAAGTGGCTAAAATGGTTATGTTACACTCATGATTTTTCTGTTTATTCAAAATTAACTAAAATGTGATAATATCATGTTATTAAAAAACAAAACAAAACAAAACTATGTTAAATGTTTGAACTAAACTCTCACCAAAAACAGATGATGGTACAAACTATTCAGCTGCGAAGAGCACCATAGCATGAATGACTTTCTAGAAAATGCCTTCTTAAATCAAGGACTGAAACAATGTGCTCCAAAGTTTTTTCTCCCTCTGAAAAAAAGTGCTCTTTACTATTTTTATTAGTGTCCTTTGACTCTTTTATGGTATTTAAAACATTCCATTTCAGCACCAGTAACTTCAACATATTAGCCAGTAAAACTCAGTCCATATCTGTCTGACTCATCTTACACTTCACAGAGAAATACCATGACTTTGTAAATATTTAGAATATAATTTAAAATCATCACTAAAACGTAATTGCTTCTTCACAACTACAAGCACACATGGGATTTTTATACAACATAGTTGTGGGCCTTGGTCTTGTTCCCAATACTTTATGGTCTCCTAGCTCCAGTCTTTGGAACTCTCTGCTTTTTCTATTCAAACTTACCTTCTTGTGATCTCATCCAGTCTCTCGACTTTAAATATCATCAATATGCTGGGGACTTCCCAATATTTATCTCCAGCCCAGATCCTCCCCAGAATTTCAGGCCTATTTATCCAACTGTCTACCTGACATCTCCACCTGAGTGTCTAATATGCACCTCAAACTTATCATGCCCAAAACATGCTGATCTTTTCCCTGCCTCCAAACCTGCTCTTCTCACATACGTCCTCATCTCAGTCAATGGCAATTGTTATGGGTTAAATTGTGTCCCCCAAAATTCATGTGTTGAAGTCTTAACCCTAGTACCTCAAAATGTGACCTTATTTGGGAATAGGGTTGCTGCATGTGTAATTAATTAAGATAAGGTCATACTGAAATAGGGGGGCCCCTAATCCAATATGACAGGTATTCTTACAGAAAGAGGATTTTGAGACACAGACACCCACACAGGGAGAATGCCATGTTTAGATGAAGGCAGAGATTAGGGTGATGCCTCTGCAAGCCAAGAAATGCTAAAGACTGTCAGAAAACCACCAGAAGCTAGAAGAGATGGGTAGAACAGATTCTTCATCACAACCCTCAGAAGGAACCGACCCTGCCGACACCCTGATATTGGACTTCTAGCCTCCAAAACTCTGCGACAATACAGTTCTATAGTTTAAGCCACACAGTTTGTGGTACGTTATTACAGCAGCCTTAGTAAACTAACACAGCAACTCTTTCCTTCCAGGGGCTCAGGCTAAACAACTTGAACTCATCCCTGACTCCTCTCTCTCTCTCACACACCACACCCAGTCTGGTACATTCTATTCACTTTACCCTTAGAACACATCTGAATGCTGATCACTTTCCACGCCCTCCTCTGACAGCATCCTAGTCCCAGCTATCAACACCTCTGGCCTGGGATTCTGCAAAAGCTTCCTAGCTGATCTTCCTGTTTTTCTTTTCCCTCTTTCTCCCCGCTGTAGCCAGAATGATCCTTATTCATCCATTCCTTTACCCAAAACCATCCAAGGGTTTTTCTCTCAAACACAGTCAAATCCACATGACCAGGGCCACAATCTGGCTCGTGGACTCCTCTAACCCTTCTCCCTTGCCTACTCCACTTCAGCAACACTGGCCCCCTTGCTAGCCTTCAAACACAGGAAGCATGCTCCCACCTCGGAGCCTTTGCACTTGCTGTCTGCTCTTTACCTAGAGATCTACACAGCCCCCTTCCTCTCCCCCTACAGGACTTTATTCAAATGTCACTTTCTCAGGGAAATCTTCCCTGACTACCCTACTGAGAACACCCCTCCCTCAGAACTCCCTATCCCTTTTCCGCTTCATTTTTCTTTATAGCGCATATTATCAAACATATCGTCTACTTTCTTTAGTCTGTTTATTGTTTGTCTCATCCACACAGGAATGTAAATTCAGTACAGGCCAAGATTTTCATCTGCATTATCTGCTGCTGTGTCCCCAGTGCATGCAGCAGTACCTGGTACACAGCAGGCACCTAGTCAACACTTGCACAAATGAGTGATTTCAGATAACTGCCTTTTTCACAATGGTTGCCAAAAAACCCACCATGCCATCAGTTCTGATGTTCTTACTGCCGTCTTTATTTAAAGGAATGTGACTTGTTTTTAACTGTCTTAAGAGGGAAATGTATGTAGTTGAACCAACTTAAGAGAAGCTGAAGAGAAAGTCCAGCATAAAAAGATGCATTGTGAGATAAGTGTGTTTAATTACAAAATTAAAGCAAGTGCGAATTCTTTTTCCCTCATGTTCACTAGCATCTTTCAGTAACAAAATAGCCATGTGCCTCCACGGGCCTTTCGGCGGTTCTCTGCTTCTTCGGTTTCGGAGCCCCTTCTCATCCTATCTCTAACAACACCTCCTCTGTTTTACAGGCTCTTTCTCAATTTCCTGATCACTAACATCAGAGTTCTACTGTTGGCCATCTTTTTTATTTCTGCTCTCTATTCTTTCATGATCTCATCCACTATCCCAGCTTCAAATAGTTCTCTTGGTGAATGATTTTCCAAATCTTTATAGCTAGCTGTAGCCTGTTCCCCGTGTTCCAATTTCATGTTTCCCTTCCTCTGCAAACTCCCTGCCTCTGCATTTTATTAGCTTCTTACATATACTATGTTCAAAATCTTATTTCCCTTCCTTTTCTAGATTTTGATGTTCTGGAAGGGTACTGCCATCTGCTATTTACCCAGGTTCAAAACCTGTACTTCTCCTCCTCACCTGTCCATCTAATCAGTTACCAAGTCCTGCTTGTTCCAGCTTTACAGACTCTCACATTGCTTCTCAGCACCGCACCATTGGCAACAATAATTCAGGCCTTTGTTAGTTCCTTTAGGTTCTTTCCTAATTCTAACCTCTCCTCCCCTCCAATTCATTCTACAGACAAATGAGTTTGATGATAGAGTTCTGATTATATTACTTCCACGTTCAGATCTTCAATCATTCCTACTGAATGCCACCATAAACGAAAACCTTCGCAGGACATTTAAATCCCTCTCCCTATGACCAACCTTTTCCTGCAGCGTCTCCTCATGACATCTAACCTTATGCTCGGCACATGCCAACACCCCTGTTGAGGTGTTCTGTTCAACCACCATACACAACCTAGCACTTCTATTACTTCCACGTTCAGATCTTCAATCATTCCTACTGAATGCCACCATAAACGAAAACCTTTGCAGGACATTTAAATCCCTCTCCCTATGACCAACCTTTTCCTGCAGCGTCTCCTCATGACATCTACCTTATGCTCGGCACATGCCAACACCCCTGTTGAGGTGTTCTGTTCAACCACCATACACAACCTAGCACTTCCTATCTCTCACTCCCACTCATGGAAACCCTATCTATCTTAAATTAAACTGATATTCTCCCAGCAGGAAGTACCACTCTCCCTTCTTCTAACTCCTTAGCATTTTGCTAATTCCTCTCCTTCATAAGCCATCACTTTCTCTTGCATTAATGACCCATGCACTTGTCCTAATCTGTTGAGGGCAAAACCTTTTTGTATGCATCTCCATGCTCCCACTGTCATTAGCCTAGTGTTGGACAATTTACTGAATGAATGAACTCACACTTCTAATTTCATTACTGAAGAACAGAAATCTACAAAAAGCAATTTTACAAAAAGTAAATTAATGAGGCCAAGGTTATAGGTTCAATTCTCATATGGTTCACTTCACTTTGCACAGAGGGAAAAAAACAAAACAAAACACCCAAGGACACAAATTATTCTCAAAAGCTCAGCCAGCTGTCTCACAAACATATGCATTATTAACACAAAAGCCACAACATATGATGGGTTCAGGTTCAAAAAACTCTAGTCTCTACTGACACCTTATCATGTGATTATCTTTGAAACTGAAAGATGGCACATGGTTGAAGAGTTATATGCATCTAGTTTTAAGAAATGCATTTATACGTTTTACAATAGAGGGAAGTGTGGGAGAGGGGCAGATCTGGAATTCATTTCTTAGACACTGAGTGTTATCAAAATACAAAGCATATCTAGTGATTTGTATGTCAGAGTTTTGAACTAAACATCTACAGAGGATATGAGGCCCAAACTTCAGGGCCAAACATCAAGGGGTCAAAGATGGGAATGCAGGCTCAGTAAGAAGGTCCTGGCTCTGGTTCTAGGTCATCCATTAACTGGCACAACCTTAGCAAAATCACCTCTCTGCTTTGGGCCTTAATCCGCGCCATAAGCAGGTTGAATAGATGGTCTCTAAGATCTGTTTTTGAAATATCCTTTTAAAATACAGATAGGTACAAAAGATAAATGGGACAGCCTGTCACGATCAAGTTGAATCCAAATTGAGTTTAAAGCCCAAATTAAAGACAATGATTTATGATACACAGTAAATAACCATTGCTTGATCTGGATCAAGCATAAAAAATGTAAAAAGATATTCTTTCTAGATCAGTTAATTATATAGCACTTAGATCTTTCTTGTATCTATATGTTCACATCTATGCTGATTTTGGTTAAAAGTTCTATGTAAATGTATGTATTAAAATGGTATTCTACCCCCGAGAAAACATTTTAATATTGATGAGTTGGAAAAACTACTAAAACTGGTAATTTTTGGTCTTGGTAATCAAAGAAACATTCTTCACAGAAAGAAGTTTATCATCAACAGACAAAGATAGTTCTTATGACTTTACACAAATGTTAAAATACTATAAAGCAGAAATGAGTGAACATTATATTTCCATTTGTAAAGACAGCATTTCTCTTAGGGAAACACAAATAAGCTACAACTGTTTTCTGTGCCAAATATAATACATAGTTCTAATGACCAAGTAAAGAGATTGAAAAGATTAATCAAAGGATCATGCTGATGTGGTGATAGTTGGGAAGGGAAATACCANTATTACTTCCACGTTCAGATCTTCAATCATTCCTACTGAATGCCACCATAAACGAAAACCTTCGCAGGACATTTAAATCCCTCTCCCTATGACCAACCTTTTCCTGCAGCGTCTCCTCATGACATCTAACCTTATGCTCGGCACATGCCAACACCCCTGTTGAGGTGTTCTGTTCAACCACCATACACAACCTAGCACTTCCTATCTCTCACTCCCACTCATGGAAACCCTATCTATCTTAAATTAAACTGATATTCTCCCAGCAGGAAGTACCACTCTCCCTTCTTCTAACTCCTTAGCATTTTGCTAATTCCTCTCCTTCATAAGCCATCACTTTCTCTTGCATTAATGACCCATGCACTTGTCCTAATCTGTTGAGGGCAAAACCTTTTTGTATGCATCTCCATGCTCCCACTGTCATTAGCCTAGTGTTGGACAATTTACTGAATGAATGAACTCACACTTCTAATTTCATTACTGAAGAACAGAAATCTACAAAAAGCAATTTTACAAAAAGTAAATTAATGAGGCCAAGGTTATAGGTTCAATTCTCATATGGTTCACTTCACTTTGCACAGAGGGAAAAAAACAAAACAAAACACCCAAGGACACAAATTATTCTCAAAAGCTCAGCCAGCTGTCTCACAAACAT